GGGGGGGGGGGGGGGGGGGGGGGGGAGTAATACATGCTCATTGTACAAATTCATACGCTACATAAAGATGTTAAAAAAAAAAAGTAGAATTAATCAGTAATCTCACCAACCATCAATAACCACTGTAAATAGAGTACAGTATAGTTGATTTTTTTTCTACCCATAACCACATAATACATGCAAAATATTTTATTACAAAATAGGAACATTCTATACATTGTTTCGTACCCTGATTATTTTTTCCAATAAATTTCCCCTGGACATTTTCCTACTGAGCCACTTTTACAGTATTCTAGAACCAGGGAGCCAAACAACAATTTCTCTTGCTTGGTTCAGACTAAACAGCTACCATCCAATGTAATGCCCTGTAACGCTTTATAAAGATGAGGTACTCCAGTAGCACTGTTCAGGCCTCTGAGAGGAGCCAGGGGGTTTAAAGGTTTTCTTCCTTGCTGGGGCTCCCTTTGGCCAGAGCCCCCCAAAACATCTATCCTCCTACAACCACCAGCAGCTACGAAGGGGTTAGGAAAAGATTTTGTTCCCGGGGACCAGCAGAAGCCTTCAGTGACCCTGGATAACACACTCCTGCCTAACTTTCCAACCAGGGCTCTCCTGCACTCCCCAACTTCCAGATCCAAGGCCTGGTGAGCTAACTGCTTCCACTAGCCAGGGGAGATGAAGCCATGCGAGGAATCGCATTGATTAGCCCCAAACCATAAAACCATCCCACTCCACGGACGCCCCTCTTCTCTCTGCCAGGACCGCTGCTCCACCCCACTACGGGGCGCGCCTCCCCCCGTCCCGCGGGACCACCCTTCCCCTGGGCCCATTCCCTCCTCCAGGCTGGCATTTGGTCTCGTCCGCCTCCGCCGCCTTCCTCCCAGTCTACCTTCCTACCTGGTGAGGCCTCGAAAGCCAGCCGCATTTGCAGCCAACCCCGAACCCGGGCTGATCTCCAGAGCCCTCCCGAGTCAGATTATTCTTCCGGGTGGACGGTTAGAGGAGCCGGTATCCGAGCACGACCAGTTCGCCCGCCTTCTGGTAGCGCCCGGGCCGGTCGGGCTCGCTCACCATCGAACTACATTTCCCAGAGGCCAGCGCGGCGGCAATTTCCGCTTCAAAACCTAGGAGTGATGAGAAAAGCATCCGCATTGGTGCTGCGGGGTCTTCTGGGACTTGTAGTTTGGGCCAGGGACCTGGCGAGCATTAGGAGACGTAGCATCGCGGGCGGGGCGGGGACGGGGCGGGGGCGGGGCGGGAGTGGTGCACCCTGGGAGTTGTAGTTCTCGGTTTCCCGGACTCTCGGAAAAACGCGGATCCCGAAAGCCTGGGATGCTGAGGTTTCTAGACAGCCGAACTGATTTGGTAGCTCGTACATAGTAAAAAGTATCCCTCCTGGCCTCCATCCATTCCTGTTATTGATATTTTTGCCATTTAAAGCCCCACCCTTTGCCCCAACCTCCACCTTCCCAGACCAAAGGAGAATTGGCATGGTCATTATCGTTGTCATTGTTGTCATCAGTCATTGTGCTAAGCACTAATATGAATTACCTCATTTAATCTTTACTACCACCTACGGAACACATATTCTTATCTCTCTTTTACAGATGGGAAAACTGAGACAGTTACTTGATAATAATGTTCTCAAAGCCTTGTTAGGCTAGTTTGTGATTCTGATTCCAAAGCCCCTACTCTCGAGAGAAATCTAGTAAGTTGACAATTTCAGAGTCAGTTTATGCCATTTCTGAGCCCTGGTACCCTTTCCCTTCCACAATCAACTCCATGATTACATATTGGTGGTGGATATAATATTCCTCTATCATCAGTGTACACGTTAGTGGTGCTATTATTCTGTTTTCAGACATGGCTCATTTAAAAATGATGAGATCTCTACTTAAGGATTTAGAGAAATGGCTAAGACATATTAAGAAAAAAGAAGAACCACAGTGTGTGCTGTTTGATCCGTTTTTTTAAGAGAGAGATCATTACCTATAAATGCTTGCAAACTCATAGAAAAAGGTCTCGGAAGGAAACTTGAAAACTCACCGAACTGTTCAGGAGCAGGGTAGGGTGGAAAATGCTTTTCAACCTTTTAATCTATATTTTTCTGAATTATTCAAAATATCTTATAATAATCATACAGAACTTGTGTAACTTTTGAAACAATAAATCATTTTTCAGGTGACAAAAACATTGGCCTGTCTTAGGAAACTTAAATAAGGCCTAGTAGTAGAAACTGCTCAAATCTCAGCTCTACCTGTTTTATTGGCCATGTAAACACAGGGACTACGCCTCCATTTTCTCATGTGTAGAATAAAGATAAAAAACAATACCTTGGTAAATCTCCTTGTTATTAGGGTCGAAGCTAACTAATACAGCAGAAGTGCTTAGTGAACTGTGCAATCCTGGAACAGATAAGAGAGGGTTGTTGCTATTACTCAAGGTAAATCTTCTTAGGTCTTTTATTTCTCTGTATCTATTTCCTACTAGATAGTGTGAACAGAAATCAATTAATGAACACCTATCCCTGCCCTTCATGTCCCCCCATGGAGTCAGTTAATTTGCTAAGAAAGCTGGTTGCTGTGCATTTGACCCATTTCTGTCACCGATTCGTATGACAATAACTTCACTCTCCTGGACCTCAGTCATCTTGACTATAAAATGATATCCTGCCCTTTGACATATACTAAGAGGGCATGTGAACCAGTGTATCCTAATCTTGGATCCTGGAACTCTTAGAGATTCATGGATGTTACTCCCAGAAATCTCAGTTTGGTAAGTCTGGAATTAGACTAGAAGATGTGACTAACTTTCTAGCTCTAAAATTCTGAAATTCTAAGAATGGGAAATTAAAATAAGAATTGAATTAAAAAAAAAACATCATCAGAAAGTAAACTAATCATATCCCATTCAATATTCACATATTTTGCTTGTCAACAGCATCATTTATTGATGTCTTACTGGATGCAATTCTTTTAAATAATTTCTATACTTCAGAAATTCGTAAGGCAACTTATAATGAAGATTCATTAGTTAAGAAGTTTTAAAAGCCTGGAGGAAAGTGCAGGAGCTGAGGAATAAAAGGAAAGGATAGTTGTAGCAGGCAAGCTCTGATTTAACTTGGAGCTTCCTAGCAGTGAAAGCAAAAAAGTCAAGAAGTCATGCAAAGCCTTCAACTAAACACAGCACAGCTAAAGCACCCAAACACTGATCAGCTGGGTAGTATCTGAAGCTTGAGCTGGTTGCCTTAGAAACAAACAAGATGACAATGTGATGAATATTTTGTAAAGCTAAATTTTTATAATTAAATATAAAATCCTGAGAGTTTGTTCTGTAGACATAATAGGCAGACACTATTGTAAGAGAATCCAGAGATGAGTAAGGTCCAGTTCCTGTCTTCCAAAAGGTTACAGCATTCAGAAAATAGAAATAACTGTTATTGCCAGATTTAGCAAATGTCCCAAATATTTGACCCAAATGTTGTACGGGACATACTTATACTAAAAAGGATTCATTGTTTACCTGAAATTCAAATTTGCCCAGGTGTTCCTTATTTTATCCGATAGCTGTAAAAACAGTTCACTCTTATTATCAGTGGCTCAAGATTTAGTTGAGCAGCAAACAAATATGCATTGATAGATGATTTACAGATATATCGATACATTGAATTTTACAGATAGAAGGAGCTTTAGAGACTATCTGGTTTCATAGGTGAGGGAATAGAGGCTAGATCAGCTGCTAGTCTAAATGGCACCTGTAATCAGTCTTCTCAAGCTGCTATTAAAAAAAAATACCCATAGACTGGGTGGGGAGAGTTAATCAAGTGGCCCCACCCTCAGGCAAAGCGGTAGGTGCAGGACACAAGTGGAAACAACCAGACTCCTTCTGGGAATTTCATCTTGAGGAATGTGATATACGTGGGAAAACAATTGAACTGATCCAGTTCTGCGGTGGCTTTGAATGGAGACTGTTCCTTAGTTCCTGCCACCCAGCTTTCCAGAGGTGCACTGACCCTGTTCTTCTTGAGTCCAGATTCTGCTATTCTGCGAATCGTCTTTAGCCTGCCTGTGAATTCTTTATTTGGGGGTGGGGAGGGAGCATAATTTAACCAAAGTCAGTCTCTGTTGCTTGCATCTAAAGAACACTGATTTCTAACTCTCAGGTCAGAGGGTTGGTTTTTTGTTTTTGTTTTTGTTTCTTTCCTTCCTTTCTTGGAATATTTAGCTGAGAGTTTACTATAAAATACAGGCACAAAATTGCAAGGTTTACTATAAAATATAGTCACAAAATTGGCCATTTACAAAAGGATCCAAATGGTATGAATTTGTCATTCTCAGGTTCAGCACAAATCCCTTAGGATTCTACAACATCATATCTAGGTTAGCTCGGACTCTGGGTCCCTGAAGGACAAGGACTGCATCTAAGATATATTATTTCCAGTTCATAACTCTTAATTTTCCACCTTGTGTACTCTGGGGTCCTCAAAGTATAATAGTGGTGTTAACACTATATTTCCAGAGAATCCCATTTTCCTTTCTTAACCCATAAAGTGAAATTTAGAAGGGACCTTAGAGAGCATGAATCTCCTCCCTTTAGAGCTAAAAAAAAAATGGAAGCCCAGAGAAGTTAGCTAAACCTGATGTCACAGACCAGGCAGAGGCCAGGCTGGAATGGGGAGCTTCAGTCCCATAGTAGGGTTCTATGACATTAATTACAGGCACAAATAGCGATTGCATGCTGCTCTTGCCTAGCAGCGTGTGGGCACCTAAAACAGTTTAAAGTCCCTCTCTCTGGAGCTTACCTGCTAATGATGTAAGTGCAGGGCTTCCCTCTTCCCTTCTTTGCTGATCCCCTAGAGAGGGCTTAACAGCCCTTTGGGGAGGGATTTTTTGACAGCCACATCAAGGGCATATCATCACTCAGGTTAATCACACCTAAAGCGTTAAGATTCAGAGCAGATGCAAGACTTTGGGTGGATAAGCAAGCTGCTCCCTCCTCGAGTGCTGCCAGTTGGCAAGGGCATTTGCATATCCAAAGCACTGAGGAGCAATGCAAAGGTTTATAAGCCAAGAAATTCACCTTCCTTAGGGGTTGTTCCATCCTGATGGACTTAATTGCTTAGAGTCTGGCAGTTCAGTTTCTCTCCCTCCTCTTGTCTGCTCGCCCAAATCACCCCTCCCCCTCAAAACTATAAATGTATCAAAAAGACAGAACCTCCAGTGTAATTTCTACCCCATGCATTCCATGGTTTGGTGAGAGGGTTCTCCAGTGTCTTAATTTCTCTAACTGTTTGGTCTTAGTGACTGTAATTACTTCACAAACCTCTCTCTCAAATCTGGCACATTTTCTGCTGGGATGGCTTTGTATGACCTTTGCCAAAAGCATACCCCATAACACCCTGCTCCAGTTTTCTTAGACTTGTAAAATTTCACTTTTTCTGATCCTCCAATATCACCATTTCTACTTTACTTATCCATTCATTCATATAGTCACTTAAAAATTCAAGGTCCTACAATGGGCCACACACTATGCAAAGGCATGGGGCTGCAGCATAAATAAGAACCCAGAGATGTCATCCTTTTTTCACAACGCTTACAGTCTAGTTAGGGAGGCTGGAAAAAAAAAATAAGGAAACAAGCTAAATAAGTGTGGTTAACAACCTGAACAGAGGGCCCAAGTAGAGTCTGAAAAGGGAGCTATTTCAGAGCGATCAGGAAAGGTGTCCCTGAAGGGAGGCATGGAAGCTGGGACCCGACAGAAGTAAGGAGGCAGCTGAGCAAGTCTCAGAGGCAAGAACATCTGAACCAGAGGCAGAGGCAGGCACAGCTGCCCCCATACAAGAAAGAGCTGGGCATGTTTGAGAAGCTGGAAGAAGGCTGGTGTGGGTGGGGGATGGCGTGAGAGAAGGAGAGGGGCACAGGATGAGGCTGGAGAGGTAAGTGGGGCAGGTAATCTCTGGATCCTGCGGGCCATGGAAAGAAGTCTGGATTTTGTTCTGAGAGCAGTGGGAAGTGGCTGAGA